GGCTGATCTCAAACTTTGGATTCTCCTGCCTCAGCCTCCTGAGTGCTGAATTTACAAGCATATGCCACCATGCCCAGGTTCACCAAAAGGAACTTGCAAGAATGTTCACCAGGAAAAAAGAAAAGGAAAGCCTTAGATAGACACAAATAATGAGGACTGTTATTTGAAAAATCAAGCAAAATAGCTAATTGTGCACACTGTAGGCTTTCAGAAAACACAGAAGGCTAATGACACAGCTAGGGCGGTAGTAGCACTTGCCACCAACATGACAACCTAATCCTGCGCTTCACACAGTGGAAGGAGAGAAGGGATTCCTCAAAGCTATCCTCTGACCTCCACTCTCATGCTATGATACCTTCCTACAAACACACACACCAAACAAGAAGACTGAATAAGAACATCAAGATGGAGAAATGACAATGTTCAAGGTCTTTCCTTCCCAGGTGACTGTCTGGATGCCCACTCTGGAGATCATGAGCCTGGACTTCATACATCTCACCAGTGGTAGCTACAAAAGAGAGTGAGGGTGGTTGTCGTGATCTCAGCAGTCCTGCCGAACCCTGCGAGCCAAGCCACAAAGGGTTTGGGAGTGTGTGGTAAGGGGAAGGGCAGGGCACTGCAGGCGACTGAGCACTAAGGACCAGAAGTGGTTAAGAAAAGCATATCCTGTTCTTCTTCCCATGTGGGACATTTGTGCTCTTGTTAAATCTCTAAGCCAAAACCAAACAAACCACCTCCCAGAAGCAATAGCCAGAAGAGAGCAACAGTTTAAGAGGTCAGAAATCTAGTATGACCTTGGGCAGGTCACTTGACTCTCTGGAGCCTTGGGTTGTGTACTGTAATGTCTACCCTTCGTTTTGGTGATAAACAAACTGATTCAAAAGGGAATGTGACAGCACTGATCTCTCACACACATTAGTCACCGAGCCAGGCAAGGACAACAGAGAGAAGACAACCAGGCAGCAAGTGAGCCGCGCAGGACAGGTACTGGGACGCACGCACGCACGCACGCACGCACACACGCAGGGAGTCCTGAGCACAGCCACCGGCAGTGAATGTGCGTGTGTGCCATCCACTCGTCTTCCCATCTCGACATAATGGTGGCCACTGGTCATCTACATAATGATGGCTGCTGGTCACATCAGCTACTGCAACAGCTTGTTACAGTTGCCACATGAATTTCCAGTCTATGGAAAGATCCACCAGTAAAAGGATTAGTCACTGACTTTTGTCACCCTGATCTCTAGTTAGGAACACAGCACTGTTGTCAACACAGACAGACAGCCAGGGAGGGCACTGCTGACCCACCAACAGAGGCTTTCCAAAACACTTACAGAAGTCTTTCATTGAAAGAGGGAGAGAGATTTATTAATGTATTTTAAAATAGCTCCTAAAACCATACTGGAATTCTCCAAAAATGACCTGACAGAAAAAAAAGAAGATAAGCAAGTTTTTCAAACATGGTTCTGTTTTCCTAGACTCACTCTTTACAACCTAAAATCAAACACAGTTTGCAGAGATTCCATGCTTTGCAACGTGTCTTTTCTGCTTCACCACAAAGTGTTCACTGCCTTAAAAGCTAATCACTGTTTCCTGTCGTAGTTAGCCAGGTGAGGCCCACCACAAGGCACACGCAAACCATCATCTAAGAAGACTGCACACTGAATGTCCGCAAGAACAATTCTTTCTCTGCTGTACACAGTAGGAAGTTAGACAGCCGGGCCACACAGTCCCTCCTTGAATTTTAAATCTTGAACATGCATCCATGATATGGGAAAAGATTAGATATTGTATATTCCCAAGGACACAAAATATGGCATAAGTAGCCGTGCAGTGGTGGCGGCGCACGCCTTTAATCCCAGCACTGGGGAGGCAGAGGCAGGCGGATCTCTGTGAGTTTGAGACCAGCCTGGTCTACAGAGTGAGTTCCAGGGCAGGCTCCAAGGCTACAGAAAGAAACTCTGTCTCAAAAAAAACAAAAACAAAAACAAAAGGCATATGCATGCTGTATATGTTTAAGAAATGTTTGTTACCTGCAATATAATATTAATTTTTAAAAATTACTGTATTTGGTTATTTTAATTTCTAAGAACAATAGTGTCTTGGCTACTGTCTTTAATATTCAAAGACCTAAAAAGCTTTAATAAGTCATATAAACATTATATAGATATTTTAAAAAATATGTCATGTATGGATATACTTAAAAATATGTATGAGTACAAACAAATGCATATTTTGGCCACCATGCTGGCATTAATACATGCACTGACAAGCAAGTTTGTTACTCTATTCCACTGATGGGAGGTAAGGAGCATGGATAGTGCCACTTATGACTTCAGTGGTCATTCAACAGCCTCCAGTGGTGGCCTCTTCGATACACACCTGGAACACTTACAAGCCAGTGCAGCCCTAGCTACACACAGTCCTCTGCTGTACACTATTGGGGATTGCATTTCTCTCTTCTGTCAGCTCTTGGTGGGGAGAGGCCTTGTCTCCAGCCCTTCTGAATTCCCTTCCAATCCAAAACCAGAGTTAAGTGCACACTCATTGATTAATTAACAGCCATAGCAGAGTAGATATTTTCCACAGCAATCAGGAGATAATTAGGATGTGGATAAAGTAAGCTACACGGGGAGGCGTTATGTACCAGAGAAGAAACAAGACTATTCGGAGTCTCCGGAAGAACATGTGCAGAAACAAAGCGGATGAGTTTACCCAGCACAACCATGCTCAGAAGGCACAACAAAACTCATAATGCTATCACCGCTTAGCTCTGGAGTGCCCTTGCTCTTCTTTTGTTCTTCCGTGGGAAGCCGTGTGTAGTGCAGTTCCTTGCTGCCTGGTTCTACAATGCCATCTCATGTCTGTATAAAGACGCCTAGCCTACAAGCCTAAAAAGAGGTGTAGGAGTCAAAAACCGACGACAAAAATCAAACAATGTGCTTTCCCCCCTCACAGGTTAGCACACACAGAATTCTGTTCATAAAAGCAAAGGTCATCATCTGTTTGACTTTTCATTCTCACTCTTGAATGACAGGATTTTTTTTTAATTAATTCTTTGGCTTTAAAAAAAAAAATCTATTCCACCAAATTCTTTACCTTTTTCTTCAACCTCCATTAGCCTCCCAATGAAAATTATGCATCAATTCCATTTCTAAAACAACAGTTAAAATGCAAATTAAGCTATAATGTATGATGGAGACAGCCTTGGTGTCTCTGTCGCTGTAAATGTGTAACACTAGAGAGGACAAAGCGTACCACACATCTTCCTAGCTCTTCTAACAATGGTCTTGGTAGAATTCATTCTCCCTTCAAATAATTAGATTGCATTTCTGTGATCCCGGGCTCTCGATGAAAACACCGAGTTTCTGTCTCATTCAACTCTTCAAGAAGTGAGCTTGCCTGCCTCTCCTCCCTATCTTTTGTCTCCGAACACCCCAGCACTTCAGGATGATTACTTTCCCACCCCTGTGAAGTCACTGGTACATTAAGCGCTGGAGCACTGATGAGGTAAACAGACAACCAGACAGCTCTGGTCGGCCAACCAAAACCTAGAACCCCTCCAGCGCCTTAAAACTCGGGCAATCAGACCAGACCCTCTGGAGCCTCGCGGCCCCTGGACAGGTCATGAGGATTTTAAAACAACAGTGACAGAAAGCCACCTTTCCTGCAAAGGAACTTGCACACACACGAACACAGACAATTGGACTTTTCAGAAGGTGAAAATGCAATCGGCCTTGTTCTCTTAGTTTTTAAGAGTTCAAATACCAAGAACATCTCAGTCTTGATTTTTAAAAATTAAAACCAAAAAAACCAAACAACTCTTGAGTGCAATTAGACCAGACACGGGGAAATCCTCCCTTCAAAGAAATGCACCTGGTGACCCTCCCGAGCAGGAGAGGTGGTTAAAAACCTGTCCCTGAGTCATGAACACTGGATTGAGGAAAAGAAGCCAGTTGGCTTCCTGGGGCTTTTAAAACATTTTCTCTCTCACCCTGGGGCTACAGAAGCTGTAAGTGAAATTCTTCTACTCATCACTCCTGAGAGGAGTACCACAGTGATATAAAGTCACACACACACACACACACACACACACACACACACACACGCACACCCCTCTACTCCACTGCCTTCTTTATTCCCTAAGGTGCCCATGCCCCCCCCCAACGTGAACCTGATTTTACAAAAAGCAAAGTCATGGGGCTGTGCGGGGTGCGGGTGTGTGTGTGTGTGTGTGTGTGTGTGTGTGTGTGTGTGTGTGTGTGTGTGTGTGTGTGTGTGTTTGTGTGTTTGCCAAGGACTCAAAGATCCAGAAAAAGCAAAGGGCTGAAAGATCCCAGGACAGCCACGGTGTTAAGAGGTCCGGCTGGCTGGCTCGTGGGCTGTCGCCAAGCATCCATTCACTCCGGGGGTGTGCGGGGTGCGGGGTGTGTGTGTGTGTGTGTGTGTGTGTGTGTGTGTGTGTGTGTGTGTGTGTGTGTGTGTGTGTGTGTGTGTGTGTGTTTGTGTGTTTGCCAAGGACTCAAAGATCCAGAAAAAGCAAAGGGCTGAAAGATCCCAGGACAGCCACGGTGTTAAGAGGTCCGGCTGGCTGGCTCGTGGGCTGTCGCCAAGCATCCATTCACTCCGGGGGTGTGTGGGGGTCGTCACGAAGCCACCCTGGGTGCCCACCCTCTGCCCTCCATCACCTTCCCCATCCCCTCAGGCAGGACCTCCTCCTCGCAGCGGAGGGCGGCCCCGGCCTCCCGGTGTGGGGATGGGGAAGGACGGGGTAGGGGTCAGGCCGGGCTCGCCCAGGTGGCCGCGCCGGAGGCTCGGGGGTGGGGGACTCACGTTCTCTGTGTCCCGCTCGTTCACCGTGGGCAATGGCGTCCGCGCCGACATCTTGCGCGGGCGGCTGGGGTCGAGCCGGGGGGGGAGTGAGGGGGTCCGGCGGGTCGCGGGCCGCGGAAGGGCTCCGGCGAGGGCGGGCGAGCGGGCGCGCGCGGGCCGGCGGGCGGGCGGGCGAGCGAGCGAGCAGGCCGCACTGGGGAGCGCGCGGCTCCCGCAGGCCGCCGCGGGGCGGGAAGGCGGGCGACGGACGCGGGGGGCCGGGCTGCGCGGGGGAGAACGCCGGTCGGTCGGGGCGCGACGGGCCGCGCGGGCCGACTGGAGGGCGGGCGCCCGGGGAGCCGCCTCAGTGCGGCGCCGGGCGAGCGCGGCCCTGACAGCGCCGCCCGCGCGCCGCCTCAGGTGAGCAGCGCCGCCGCCGCCGCCGCCGCCGCCGTCGCCGCTGCCGCTGCGGCATCCGCGCCGGGCCCCCGCGGCCCCGAGCCCGCGCGCCGCGCCGTGCCGTCCCCGCCGCGCTCAACCGGAGCCGCGGCCCGAGCCGGTGCGCGCGGAGCGGCGGGCGCGGCACGCAGCGCCCCGAGGCTCTTGGCGGCCGCCGCCGGGTGGGCGGGCGCCAGCCGAGGGGCCTCTCCATTCATTCCCTCATTAGGGATGCGGGGCGGCCTCCGCCCTCCCGCCCGCTCGCCCTCCCGCCCGCCCCCCGGGCCGGATTTCAGGAGGGACTCGCCCCACCCGCGGATCTGGCTGTCCCCCTCAGAACCTCCCGTGTCTTGGGATTTGATTTTGATTCTTGGGTGGTTTTTTTTTTGTTTTTTTTTAAACCAGCACTGGGGACAACGGTGTGTTGAGGCGTATAAATCGCAATCCCCTCCTTTTTTTCAAAAAACGCATTTTATTTGTGTCACTGGAGGGAGCGTTGGGTACCACCCTTCAGTTCTCCGCGCCTTCAGTTCCTAGCGTTGCTCCAGCCTTCGTTCAGTCCCCTTCTGCCCCGAGGTGGTGTTCAGGGTCAGGACTGGACACAAGGCACAAAAAGCCTCCTGTAAGGAGCTGGCCCAGAAAGCGTGTGGAAGAGGGCTCCCCGCACCCCACAGCATCCCTGGAGTGGGTGAGACTTGGGAATCACGATGTCTACATTGGCTGATCGTCACTTCCTGGGATACAAGGAAGTGTCACTTAGGCCGATTTATTCAGGGACAGTAGAAGGCTGTCTCTGATTGTGGCCTGGCACTCTCCTTCCAGTTGGCTTTCTTGCCCTTCCATCCACCTGCCTGCCTCTCTTTAGGTCCTGTGCACACCCACACCGTGCGTGTTGTACTTTGTCCCGAGGCAATATACTCCTGTTTTTATTCTGAGGTTTTGCACACTTGGCCCCTAGGATAAAAATCTTGCCATCTCCCTATTCTTTCTCTTTCCAATTTTTTTTTTTTTTCTAATTCCTTCGTGGTTGGGCAGGCAGATAAAAGGAGAGACAGGTTGGACAAGGTTGATGGATTTTGTTGAACAGCTTTCTTCAACATCCAATGGGAATCTTGGGATGATGGGAAACTCTTCCTCTTTCTTGAATGCATCCATCTGAAGGAAGAATTCCTGCACCAGATGGTTTTTATCCTGACTCATTAGAAGTTGTTTCTGAAAACTTAACACTTGACCCTTAAAACACAGGCCTAAAAATAGCAAACACATATCTTGAGGGAATATATATATATTTCTCTCTCAGTGTGCAGTCACTTCTAGAACACCAGCTGTGTATTTATTTCTTTAGTATCCTGTGTTGTAAATATTTCTCAATTCCACAAAGCAAATGAAAATCACAAGACCTCTTCCGTGGTCTCTACTGCTCAAATAGCACTTAGGCTTTGGAACCAATTGCAAGGCCACAGCCTGAATTATGGTGTGTCCCCAGGAATGCCACACTTCAGAGATCTGGGTTCACCAAGATATACTGAGGCATGAGTTTGTACTTTTCTGATCAGCTGAAGGTGCCTCACACAGCAGCCCCACTGAACGCTAACACAGAAGTCCCTTGTGTTACGACTACATCTGAGAAGATGCTCTGCTCCACAGGGATAGCCATCATTTCTTCCGTGGGTAGCTTGGATTTCACATATTATCTATGTCCTCATCCTTGTGGTGACCCAGACAGGCATATTTGTTTTTGTTTTACGAACTTCCACTGAATTGGCTTATTCATGATCATCACGACATCAGGTAAGGGAGACACAGAATAAGATATCTGGGATGTATGGGACAGTTCCATCTTGCAGCAGTCACAGGACCTATGAGCTCACCCCTGACAGAGATAAGGCTAATTAGAGACAGAGCTCAAAGGAGAGCCCAGGATCCGGGCCCAGTGGCTTCCACACAGAAAACTCTTTCAACTACATCTGCTATTCTTTGCTCAAATATTAAAATTGAGCAATTATTATTTAATAATATTAAAGGACACTTTTTATGTCAACCCGGAGCAGGTTTCATAGCTATGGAACTAAACATTCAAAGGGAATCATTTTTTAATAACCCAGATCTATAATTCTATCTAATAAGAGAGTCGAGAAATAACTCTACCTTTAAAAACTGCCATTTAGTTCATGGTACTACCCACAATCCTAGGTTTGGTATATAGTGAAAATACACTTTTCATAGGAAAAAAAAAGCTTCTGTTTTATATTCCCAGTGTGATCTCTTCTCTCAAATAGCAAAAAGGGTTAGGACAGATCAAAACTGTTTAACCTTAGTCCTCAATAATGAAAATGCCTACAAGCAAAATTTTTCCCTTGTAGCTTCTTATAGCTATGACTACGGAGAAATGGCAAAAGGAATATTTTAAGGGTTTTAGCGATTCTCTTCCAGGCCATTAACAAAATGTGGCATGTACAGATTAGAAGCCTCTGATGTACAGTGGTAGGGTTTAAAAGCCTCAGAAGAAAGCTGATGTTGTGACGAAACCAGAGAAACGAGGCTCTCCACAGTGCTGAACTCCCATGGGTGGTGGCTAAAGAGTGCTGTTGACCATCGCCCCAGGGAGGAAACTTTTCAGTGACTACACTGGCCAGGACTATGGGCACCAGCTACACTAGGCTCCTGAGCACTTGGGAAGTCAATTTAATTTTTATTGATTTTGATAATAAATAATTTAAGTTCAGAAGCCGATTCAATTCAGTATTTGGACATTTTCAAGTTATTTAGAAAGAATATAACTGTTGTAATCTACTTTTTCAACTCTAGATTTTCTGCAATCTAAACACAAATCAAGTGTTTCTCATGAAGATGTAAACAACTAAGGTCCGGGGACATGACTCAGCAGCAGGTAAGAGTTCTCCCTAGGCAAACACAAAGACCTGAATCCCAAGCATCATGTAAAAAGCCAGGTATGGCCACTCTGACTGTAACCCACTGGAGGGTCAGGGGAGAAGGAATGCTTAGCGGGGTTTAGCTCCAGGTTCACTGAGAGGCACTGTCTCAAGGGGACAAGACACACATACACAGGTACCGTACACATATACCACACACATGTTCTCTCTCCCTCGCTCTCTCTCTCACACACACACAAATACACATACACACATACAAAATAGCACCTGAATTAGGCTGTACTATAAGTATCAAATACATATGTTTTAAAGAGTAGGAGAATAAAAGATGTAAGACATCTTATCAATGGACATGGATTGCATATCAAAAAGCAAATATTTAACTATGTTAAGGTAACAAAAATATATTATTAAAATTAATTTCAGCATTATTTTGAATTTTTAAGTGTAGATACTGAGGAATGTACTCTTACATAAATGGCTTACAGTCCATGTCTGTTGCACAGCCCTTCTCTGTGAGTTCAAATTGAGAATAAAGAGGTTTAAATGCTGGAAAGTCAAAGGCCTTGATTAGAGGCTATTAATTATTTATTCTGTGGAGAGCAGTACCCAGCACGCATTTATTGAGTAGCACATGCCCAACAGACACTGTTCAAAGAGACAGTTAGTTCTTCACCTAACGATTACTAGCAGTAAACATCATCATCTTTTTAAGGAGTTTAGTTAGAAACATGTTAAAAGGATACAAACAAGCATGAACAGATTACAGTCATTTGTCAACAAAGAATCAAATATGATAGCAACATTAATAGTAAAGTCATGAAACTACAGATTTATTTTGTCAAGTGAATTAAAAATATCTAGTGTCCAAGGCCAGCAGAATGGCTCAGTGTGTAAAAGCTGTTATGGTATAAGGCGGGCAACCTGAGTTCTATTCCCAGGACCCATGTAAAGGTGGAAAGAGAGAACTGACTCCATAGAGTGACCTTTGACCTCCACTCATGTACCGTGGCACATGTGCCCCCTCCCAAGTAGCCACACACACAATAAGTTAATTAAAGTTTAAAATACATCTAATGTCTAACAGACATGGCTGGACAATCATTATTTATTGAGAGCAGACTTTGTTTCAGAGTCTACAGGACACTTACGCCTTTTCATTTAACCACTCGAGATGATGACAGGATGGTCAGTTCTGTAAGGTGATAAGGAGTGATCTCAGCTAAAAACACAAACAAACAAAAAACAGGGCCAATGCCCACCAACAAAAAAGTCGTTTCTTTTCACAAATAACCTGGGTCCCGACTGCATTCCAAGGGTTAGCAAGTCCTGTTGTCCTTGTGTGTCAACATTCATGACTCAAATTGTGGAATGGACAAAGGTTTCAAGATAAATTGCACTTTAAAAACTGTAAGGCTGCAGGGTGACGGTGGCGCATGCCTTTAAGACCAGCACTCAGGAGGCAGAGGCGGGCAGATCTCTGTGAGTTCGAGGCCAGCCTGGTCTACAGAGCGAGATCCAGGGCAGACAAGGCTACACAGAGAAACCCTGCCTCAGAAAACACAAACAAACTATAAAGCTGGCCTAGGGAGGTGGCTTAGTTGGTTAAGGTGCTGGCCTTGCAAACATAAGGGCCCAAGTTCAGTTCCCAGAACCCTTACAAAAGGTGGGGTATGGTGGTAAGCACGCGTAATTCCAGTCACTGGCCGTGCTGGCCAGCCTAGCCCAGCTGGCTAGCCCCAGGTCCTAGTGAGAGATCTGCTTTTTTTTAAAGGTGTGGGGAACAAAATGGATGACTCCTCAAAAGTGACACCTGAGAATGACCTCTGGCCTTCATACACACACCAAACACACACACACACACACACACACACACACACACACACGCACGCACGCACGCACGCACGCACGCTGAGATTGGGAAAATGGCTCAGTCAATCAGCAGAATGCTTGCCATGCAAAAATGAAGACCTAGGTGCTCCCACATTTCCGGTGCTGGAGAGGTTGGTGGCAGAATCTCCAGGGCGGGTGAGATCCAGGTCCTGTCTCAAAATAATAATCAATTGGTGAGCTTCAGGTTCTGTCTCAAAAAAAAAAAAAAAAAAAAAAAAGCTAAAGAAGCAATTGTAGAAGATACCCCATGCTGACCTCTGGCCTATACACACATATATGTGCACACACATGCATGTGTACCCACAGGCATGTGCACACAAACACAAAATTAAATTAAATTAAAAACTCAGCAGGAGAGGGCTCAGCAGTTAGGAACACTGGCTGCTCTTCTGGAGGACTTGGGTTTGATTCTGGCACCCACATGGTGGCTCACAGCCATCTGTAGGGATCCAACACCATCTTCTGGGCTCCTTGGGCACTGCACACACATGGTATACATACACGCTGGCAAAACATCCATATACATAAAAAACAACAAAAAACCAAAACCTAGAGGACTGCCTCTTGCAGTACATATACGGTCACAGAGAGATGCAAAATCCTTTGGCTATTTAAACAGCACTTGTCCTCACAGTCTCAGTGCATACCAAGATGGGCCAGCCTGAGAGTCACCCCAGTATACTCTTGGAGTTTCCACCCTCCACACTCAAAACCAGAATCCATATCTAAGTGACAGGAGCTCTCCTGTTGTTCCCCACAAACTCTGTGATGGGCATGGTTGGGCTGTTTGGAATTCCCCAGTCACTCAGCACTACTTGTCTCCTCCATGCCTGTATCATCCGCTCTCCCTTCCTGGAATGTCCATCCCATCTCTCTACCTGACAGTCTGGGGGCTGATATTCCTCTTCACCCCCACAGCTGGTCAACCATCCTGTCCGTGTTAGCTTTGCACAGCGGACATTCTTTCACTGTTGGTTCCGTGCACTGGGTCTCTCGCTGGTCCCTATGTAGCTGCGTGCTAAGTAATACCACCTTTTAAGTTTTCCCCCCAAAGTCTAGTATGGTGCCTAGAACTTCGTATATGCCCAGTTTCCTAAATCCTCCATGTTTGGAGATTCTCTCCTCCACTTCCAGGTTCCCTTGAGCTTTGAAGAAGCATCATAAAGGAATTGAAAATATGTTCTAAAACGATTATTAAATATTACACTCGAGGCATAGGAGTAGATAAGACTTCACACATTGTTCAGAATATTATCCCAATAAATGCTAGTGACTGGGTAGAAAATTGATTCTGCCCTGTCTCTGATAGACAGATAGCTTTGTTTGTTTGTTTGTTTGTTTGTTTGTTTGTTTTTTCAAGACAGGGTTTCTCTGTGTAGCTTTGGAGCCTGTTCTGGAACTTGTCCTGCTCTACTGTCTGTAGCCCAGGCTGGCCTCAAACTCACAGAAATCAGCTGGCCTCTGCCTCCAGAGTGCTGGGAGTAAAGGCGTGCACCACCACTGCCCAGCGACAGGTAGCTTTGATGTAATGCTGGAGGTTTTACTGTCTTAGTGGTCTTCCTGCAATCATTCTAGCCATACTGAGGAACTGCTTTTCAACAGAACACTCTTCAAGTGAGTTCCTACGTACTGACTATACCATACTAAGCTATGCTGACACCAAGCACTTGGACAGGAGATAGCCTTTCCAAGTAGGTTGTACAAGCTAAAATGGAATTACGTGACCAGGTATGTTAGAAGCCAGAGAGCTGGCAGATCAACCTCAGAACAGTCTTCAAAAACTGAGTGACTCAGTGGTAAACACCGGTCTAGATGCACAAGACCCTGGATTTTATACTCAATGCTGCAGATAAAATTGGTACAATGAGACTGTGTGGCCTCTACTTAAAATTCATTCAACAGCCTGAGCATCACAGAGCCATGTGGCAGTGAAAGCTGGGGATGCGGCCTATGGACATGGCATTTGGTGGGGAGTTTGCACCAGTCTTCAGCAATACTGGAAAATGCAGGTGAAAACTCAACATGGGTAGCATGCTCTTCAAATAAAGGGACAACTGTTGCATATGGATTCATAGAAGTACAGATGTGGAGGCACCCACCATGACAGACAGACAGCTTCCAAACTGGCTTTGTAGTAATATCACAGAGAAAGAAAAAAAAGGATCCTTTTAATGTCTCACGGTAGCCACCCTAAAGTAAGAAATTGGTTATCTTTTACCTAGTATCTGTGACTACAAATGGAACACAATGTAACATAATTTCCTTTGTAATAGCCTTGCAATTTCAATACTTGATTTTACAGACAACATACTAAGTGAATTATTCCCATGTGTTTTATACTAATTTTGTTGCTATAAAATATTAGCTTTGGGGATTGCAGAGACGGCTAAGTGGATAAGAACACTTGCTTGGTTGGCATGAGCACCTGAGTAACCACACACACACACACACACACACACACACACCATGCCTATAACCTCTGTGCTATGGGGGCTAGAGACAGGAGAATTTCTGGAGCTTGTTGGCTACCAGTCTGCCTTTTAGTTCAGTGAGAGCTCCATCTCAAGAAAATAAGGGAGAGTAACAGAGAAGGACCCATTACTGACTCTCTGGCTTGTGCGAGCATTTATACCCACATACACAATACACATGCGTGCGCGCACACACACACACACACACTAGCTTTGTAGTTTCCTTTCATAAACTTAATTCATTTTTCCTAGTTTAAATGTATCACAACTTACATTTCGGTGGTTTTCTGACTTTCCTATGTATGAATATCATCACCATTTTTCATTTTGCTTTTCATTCATCCTCTTAAAAATCCCCAGCCCCGCTAAGGAGGTGCTATTCTGAGCATCTCTGAGAGAGCAATGGAGGACAGACAAAAATTCCCACCCACATACAAGATCACATTTTGATAGGCACTTTCTGCATCCAGACAGTTCAGATTCTGAAGCTCCCGTAATGCCCTTGCCTGGTATGCCTTGATTATTTCCTCTTTTAACTAAAGAAGTACCCAGGTAACAGTTCTAGCCTATATATGAATTGTGTTAGCTAGGTCTTAGCCTCGATCTAAACGTACCTGTGATTGCTTTCTCTC